TATAGTCATTTTCCTTCATCACAACCCCATGTTCTTCGGAAAATTGTATTTGAAGTAGCCTATGAGTCAGACCTAAAGCATTAACATCTGGAACCAGATGATTTTGTTGGGACATAATTTGGGTGAAGGAGAAGAAATGATGAAATTTAATTCCTCAGTATTAAAGAATCAATAATTTTGAAAGACCAGAAATTCATCAGGAAATTAGATAAATCCTTCAATTGATTGCAGTGTTTGATTTTATTTGAGAAATACCCAAGTGTGTATATCGAGTGTGTGTACGTATGGAAACAATTGGGAAATGAGAAAAGAAAGAATAAGAAATAAAAACTTACCTTTCTGAAAGTGATGAGATTTCTTGGTGACCTTCCGCGGTAAGAGCAAAAATGTTGGAATCGTGGGAACAGAAGGTGGGGGAGCTGGTGGCTCGTGCTAATTATTGAACCCTAGACCTAGAAACTTAAATGGAGAAGAGAGAGAGAGGAAACTTGACTCGCCAATTATTAAATATACGCGTAATCGTGCACGTCTGTCGCATGGGGTCGCATTCAACAAAGAAAAATAAGTAATTCTTTAAATAAATGATAGTACAAATTGTAATAAAAAATCTATCAAATAATATCGAAATATATATTCGTGAAATTCAAATTGCACTGCTATTGACCAATAAATATATATACATACACACACACAAACATAGTGTCAATATATAAAATATATGTTAACCAATAAATAATACAAATGTAACAAAGGGGATGGCTATTTCAAATACCAATTGTTTTTCACTTTAACACCGTCTAAATAATAAACTAGTAAAGACATTTATACCCTTAATGAAAATCAATATCACATAAACATAAAAAAGCTCATTTTGTTCCTTTAATACCACACACATAAACCCCTCACACCCCTCTATTTGTTCTTCACAAACCATCCATCCCACTCGTATTTCTTCTTCTTCTTCTTGTTCTTGTTCTTCTTCTTCTTCTTCTTCTTCATGTTCTTGCTGCTTCTTCTCCTCACCTTCTTTCTCCTCCTCATTTTCTTCTTCTCCATCTTCAGCTTCTTCCCCCTTGATCCTCTTCATCCTCTTTCTCCTCCTCTTCTTCCTCCTCTTCGTCCCCCTCCTCTTTGTCCTCCTCCTCTTTGTCCTCCTCCTCGTCTTCGTCTTCCTCTTATGTGTCTTCCTGCCTCTTCTTCTTCCTCTTATGCGTCTTCCTTCCTCTTCTTCTTCTTCCTCTTATGCATTTTCCTTCTTCTTCTTCTTCTTCTTCTTCTTCTTCTTCTTCTTCTTCTTCTTCTTCTTCTTCTTCTTCTTCTTCTTCTTCTTCTTCTTCTTCTTCTTCTTCTTCTTAGGCAAGCGTAGTTGGGAAGAATAATTTTGAGGAAAAATTAGGTCATCTACGTGCCGCTCTAAAACAATGAAAATGAGGCACATTTGGTAGGATTGAGGATAATATAAGTGCCATGCAAGCTCGGATAGAGGAATTGGAGCAACACCTATCTCACTACTGGAATAAGGACCTGCTCATCGAGTGTCAAACGGTTAAAAATGACCCAAACAACAATTAAAGTGGGAACGTGAGATGTTATCTAGTAAAGCCCTGATTAAATGGCTCTTGGATGGAGATTGCAACACAAGATATTCACTCATCCCCATATCATCTGGACCCTAATATTTTCTCCCACGTAGACACTAGGGTTACTTCTAACATGATCTTAACGCTGATTACGATTCCAGATGGAGTAGAAGTGTTACAAGCTATTAAAGGTTTATCGCCAGACAAGCTACGAGTCAAGATGGATTTACGCCAAACCTGATAACAGTTTGTTATCCTCAATAACTTTTTGAAAAAAAGTCCAAACCTCATAAATTATTTTCCTAGTTGTCAGCGAACCAACTGAAGAAATGTCCTCATCACCATTCTCCATCTCAAATAGTCCCATTGTCTCCAAATATGCAAGCAAAAATAAAACTGAACCAAACAAAGTTCAAAACATTGCAATAAAGTAGTATAGCGCTTAACCATTCATTGTTACTGATCGCAAATCACATTAAATAGACAAGATGCAAAAACTATTTCAAACTATATCGATGTATACCATAAACTTGTGCAAAGATCGAAACATTACATTAAAATCCTCAGAATTCCAGGTTTTCAACTTAATCCAACATCTTAAACTCAAGAAACATAAAGAATTACAAGTGTAAATAACCACAAAGTAAATAAAAAAATCCACAAAGCTACAACAGTAGCAGCAGTTCTAGCTTCTTCTTATGATCTCCATACATACACTTGTAATTTGGATATTCTTGTGTTTCCCCTCTACGATTCATTCCCCTCATATCAGGTGATGAGAATCTTGAATGCAACGATAAAAAAATAAACTCTTGGAATAAAAATTAGTAAATAATAAAATTAAATGAGAGAGAGGGAGAGAGAGAGGGAGAGAGAGAGAGGGGGGGAGAGAGAGAGAGAGAGAGAGAGAGAGAGAGAGAGAGAGAGAGAGAGAGAGAGAGAGAGAGAGAGAGAGAGAGAGAGAGAGAGAGAGAGAGAGAGAGAGAGAGAGAGAGAGATGTCGTTTGTTGACGATGGTGGTGTTGGACGACAACGTGTGGCAAGCAACGATGGAGGCAGAGGAGGCTAGTAGAGTGAGTGAGCGGACTAGGCAAACGGCTAGCAAAGTGAGCGAGCGATGAGAAGAATAGGTGCTGCTGATGGCAAGCTGCAGCGGAGACGACGGAGGATGAGAAATGGCGATGGTATGGGATTAGGCTTGGCAATTTGGGAACTCCAATTTGTTTTTATTTGGACATATTAAAGAAATTCAAATGAAATGTCTGAGTTTTTAAATTTTGACATATTATTGTTAGGATTTAATTGGTCTTAATTGGATCTAATATTGATCCACTTTATATTTAGTTGAACTTTCAAAATATTCAATGTGGATCCGCATGGATCCAATTTTCAAAAGTATTCCGGATCCATATGGACAGAATCAAATCTGATTAGATCCATACAATTGGATCAAAAATGCTAGCCTAATTTATATGATCATATATCATGATTGAAAGTGTTTAACTTCTTCTTATGTTGATTTTTATTGGAGAAATTAGCAAATTCTAGTTATGATTGAAAATGTTTAATTATTGAATTTCGATAAATTTGTAGAGAATTTCCATAAATGTATAGTGGATTTAAATTTGGTAAACCTACTAGAATGTTTTAAAAAATTTTAAAAAAAATCATTTATTTTAATAAATAAACAAATAAAGAAATAAAAAGGAAATAAACACAATAAACAATTTATTATTAATTGAAATAAAAAAAGAAAATTTAAAATAAACATTAAGAAAAAAATGTTTTTATAAAAGAATCCAAAAATAATATAGGGCATATTTACAGTCTTTTAATTATTTTTCCATCATAATACAATAGGGGAATTTTGATATTCTACATTTAAAGGGATTACTCCTAATATATACTTTTGAAATTGGGTTTAAACCTATAATAGCAAATTCTGTCTTTCTCTATTGTAAATTGTAAATAAATCTGCAAGTAAAATGAAGTGTTTACAAAAATGAAATGTCTTTCTCAATGTTCTAAACATTTTCTTTGCTCTAAACACCACAAATACTTATTCTAATAAATTTAAAAATTTAAAGCCATAACTGCATATTGTTTTCACGTTCACTAATAAATATTTTCTTTCCCCCTCTCTCTCTCAAATGACTTTTCCTTTTGTGAAGTCCTCTAACTCAAAGTGACACATGTTAAACTCGACGCACCCTATTAAGAATTTTACATGAACATTTATGAAGTGTACCTCAAATTTGAAGCTTAGGCCTAATTACTAGATATGTGGTCTATCTGTTGATAAAGAACAAATGAGAGCATTTAATTTAATTGTAAGAATCTTCTCAAATGTAGAAATTATATTAATTGCATTGATTTGGAGAGGATAACTTGATTGATATATGTATTTTCCGTCGTTCAATTATAGATATTGAGTATAACATTTATATAGTCATGCTGAATAACTTTGCATGGCTTTTCTGTATTTGAGCATATTTTTCTTTAATTTAATCTTGCATGTTACATTTGTTGGCCATAAACTTATACAAAATTTTAACCCTATGCCAACAAATAATGAAAAATTAATGTTACTTTCCTTAATTTTTCAGTTAAGATCTATACGATATACAAATTATCGTAGTATCATTTATAGGATATAATTGGTTCATACTAGCTTGGGCTCATCACACACGACCAATCATGTGGAACGTGTAGTATAGATTTGACCGTGGACATAATTTTATCCAACATTATACACCAATTATTTGGAGAAATATATATTGACATGTCTTTGAATGTATTATATATATACATTTCTTGTAGAGATAAAAACTTAATGGTTTGTCGAACCCACTAATAAAGCCTGTTGAATGACCATCTCAACCAAAAACTTAAGCTATTAGTGAAATGAATCATTCAATTACGCAGGTGAATAACATTTGAAGCCTTGCACTTGAAATATTTGAAATGAGCGGCGGTGCTTTCGAACTTAAAACGTTTCATTTGTCCTGGATTTAATATCATCTTGAATGACCACCTCAACCAGAAGTTTAAACTATTAGTTAAATGTATCATTTAATATAAATATCTCTAATAATTGATTATATAAGATAATAATGAAATGTCATTTATACTATAACTTCCACTACGTAAAATGTTAATCTTGCATATGTCATAAGAAGTATAATTCCATAAAATGTAAAAATTAAGGGGAAAAATAAGTTATTGAGTTAGATTCACCATTTGTAATCCTGCCAAATCAAATATCTATGAGGATCATTCTAGATTTTAGTAATAAAAGATGGTATACCTCAGCAATTGACTTTATTTTTCCACTTTTATGAAGCATGTAAATTGGTCTTAAAAGCTGGTTTTCCTTGTTATAAATACGAGTCTGTATTGAATCGAAAAACAAAACACAAAATGGAATGGCCTGCAGATTTTCAGTATTCTCCTTTGGAGGAGTCACCACTGCATGGGATCGAAATCGACAAGGGTGCTGGGTGGACTTTTGAAGAGAACAAAATGTTTGAGAATGCTTTGGCTGAAATTGATCCTTCTTCTCCAGCTTTCTTTGAAAACGTCGGATCAAGGGTTCCTTGGAAAACCATTGAAGATATCAAAAACCATTACCAAGCATTGATAGAAGACGTTGGTCTGATTGAATCGGGCAAGTTTCCGATTCCAGATTACGAGCAAAATAATGTTTATCATCACCTCGAAGGCAAAAAATATGATCAAATAGAGTCCATTAATAAAGACGAGGGATCTCCATCTACAAAAAATGGCCAACAACGCCGAAGAGGCGTTCCATGGACTGAAGAAGAACATCAGTACGTATATATTTTTCCTCAATCATTCAAATTCTTTACTTTTTCTTTTAATCAAGATTTATGGAAAATTCCATTTAAATAAATATTTGATCGACACCAATTTATCTATAATTGCTTATTTAATTTGAGTCATATGATAGTACGGAAGTGTTGAGTCATTTATTAAAATTTTAACCCATTAAGATCGATAAAGCAAGCCTAGGTAGATGAGATGCATGTCCTTATAAAAAATTTATGCATAACTAAAATTATGCATAATCTTTAATTTATGATACTAGTAAAATTGAAACAATTAGAAATTAATAACATGAACACAATGCATATATTAGTCCATAGACCCATTTGTTAAAAAAAAAACAACTTTTGCATTCTTTTTTAGATATTATATATTTTTTTCATTTATTTTTGGTAAAGAAATATAATAATTTGTTTAACTGCCTTTACTCTATTTGATTTCACCTTTCATTTTTTCTTCATGTAGTTAATTCACCTTCAAATCATAATTCTGATTTTGGTATAAAAAAATGTATTTTAGAATGTCTTCACAATAATGGAACACCGTTTTATCTTGCACGCATAGATTATTTCTCATGGGATTGAACAAGTATGGGAAAGGAGATTGGAGGAGCATCTCAAGGTATTATGTGATCACAAAAACCCCAACACAAGTTGCGAGTCATGCACAAAAGTACTTTAGACGACAGACGAGCTCCACTCCAGTTGACAGGCGTCGTCCTAGCATTCATGATATTCAGACTGTTAATCCCACCACCTTCACAACATTGCCCCTAAGCAATACTCTCACTAACGTCGTCGATGAACCAATCCCGTTCTCTTCTTGTGGCGTCATCCCAATGCTCCATCATAATTTGAATGGTGGTACTAATTTTGAGCTAAATTCTATCTTTTTACCATTGAACTCAACATTTCCATCGACTGATGACATCTTCAACCAGAGTTCCGGTTCTCATCATGCACCATACTTTATTTCGCCGACGAGGAACCAACAATGGGGTTAACTGGAAACATACTAAACTAAATTATGTCTGGATTTTGTTGGATCTTGATTAATTTTATTATTCTATATAAGTAAAGTAGTTTTGTGCTTCTATGTTGTATGTGAAAACTTTTACCTAATGTATGGTAAATTTATTTTTAAAAGTAAGTAACACATGCATCGCACGTGATTCTTACGATTTTTGTCAATGAATAAATTTAATGATTTAATTGCATTAGCTACACCTTGAAAATACGTAATTGTTAAATGGTCTTCATGAAATAAAAGTAAGAAATACGTACCACATATATTTAAAATTCAGGCGTGCATGCATCTCAAATTGCGCGTCTTACTTGTTACTTCTGCATTTATTTTAATTCTTATTTTTTGTTATAAAATTGAAAATTACCCCAAGCTTGTTATATTAGTTAGAGCCCAAGTGGCCATCTCCACTTGCACCTAAGAAGTCCTAATTTCTAAAAGCTTCTCTTTGCCCTAATTTCACCGTAATTGATTTCACCATCAAAATGGTTGGGGAAATTTAATCCCCAGGAGCACGCCATCGATGATTCAAACGCTTTAGTATTTTCAACGCATGTTTTGCTAATAAATGCGGGATTAATGATTGTGAAATAAAAACTAATCTAGAACATACAACGATATGCACATATGATCCTAAATTTCCTTTTCCCTAATACTTCGTTTGTGGAAGATTCCGAATTCACTTCATTCTGAAATAGTTCAAACCATGAATGATGAACTAGTCTAGAACAGTAAAACCAACTTCAGACGCCCATAGTTTTGTTTTCAGGACTTGGATTAACGATACGTTTGGCCGCGATTGAACATCTCGAATGATGCAGACCAGAACCCGGAATGTAAAACCAAATAGAAACGATGATAGATGACTAGAAATCACTCAACAGGCGATATCAGACTAACTCAAAACTACTAGTTAATTAATCGCTCGACGTGACCAAGCAACTCACGTGTAAAGAGTACTCACTTAGTCTCAATGCAATAGACTTGCAAAAAAGAAATTAAACTTAAACACTCGTCCCGTTTTATGCATTGAAAGAAGGGTTTATATAGAAGTTTTGGAACATCATTGTAAAATATAGAAAATTGCAACTTGAAAAATTATCAACTTCCTATCTATACTATCTATAAAAGTGGGAATAATAAGGTAGGTTTCTTCCCTTTTATGTGAGGACCAAAATGCCCTTTTCAATGGAATATATTATATACATAGGATAAATGAGTAATAATTAATAATAATACAAGGGATTATTTGAGATAACCCCCTCATATACAATGTATCATTAGACTAAATCCTTTTTTTTTCCTCCTTTTTGAGATAAATCCAATTGTATTTTATTAAACAAATTATATTATTAATAACCTGTTATACCCTTTCTCAATTTTTTTAACCTAGTCAAACCCCGAAACACGTCCCTTCACTTATTCCTCTTCTCCCTTCCTTCTCTCCACAATCACGCACGCCCCACAACCTCGCTTCGTCTTCTTCCTTCCTTCTCTCCACAACCACGCCATAATCTTGCTCCACAACCTCGTCGTCTTACCGGATGACCACACCATCTCCGCCCTTCTCCTCCTCGGCAGCCGCCCCTCTCTTTTCCCACCACCATCGCCGCCCCTCGTTACATACTACCAGATCTGTCCATCTTGATAATCGTCTTCTCACTCGCTGACGAGATCCGCTTACCCACGAAGTTGATATGTTTTCCCAAAACGCAGAAAGATTTGTCTCATTCCCTCTATATTTTGTCGGCAAATAGATAAGTTCACCGCGGTTCTCTTTCTCGTCGGCGGTTGTTGATTATAAGGTATGCGAAAATACTTCGTCGCTTTAGGTTTTTTTGATTTTTCATACCATGATTTCATATTTTTTTTATATAAATTCTTCTGATTTCAAACATGTTTTGGTTTTGAAATTTGATAATGTCTTATTTCAAACATGTTATGGTTTTGAAATTTGATAATTTTTAGTAAGAAATACAATACGAATTAATAAGGTGACAATACGAATTAATAAGGTGTAGCACTAAATATTGTCGAAAATTCCATAATTTCCAAAAATATTTTCAAATTTTGGATATTTTTTTTCTGAAAATTTAGAATTATAATTTATTTATTGTATTTTTTAGCTACAATTGGCTATTGTTTGGATGCTATTTTGCTGCTGTTTTTTGCTGCTGTTTTTGCTGCTGTTTTTTTGCTGCTGTTTTCTTTTGGCTTTGCTGCTGTTTGGCTCCTAATTTGCAGCTGATTTTGCTGCTGTTTTGCTGTTGTTTTCGTGTTGCTTTGCTGCTGTTTTAAGATGTTGGCTTGCTGCTATTTATTTGCTATCATTTTTTCTTTATATCCATAAATAAATTCTATATGATGGATAACAAAATAGAAGTGACAACTAGTTGAATTGTTGAATGAACTATTATATATATGAGATTTTCAATATACTTTTGAGGCTCCTTCATATTTTCGGTCACTATTTAAATATTATACTGTTGTTGTAATTCTTTAGTGGATTAACTTATTTCGTAGTGGATTATGTTAATATTTTAGTGGATTTCGATAATTTTTGTAGTGGGTTTTGGCGAGATTATAGTGGATTTTAAATTCTTGCTTTGGAGACCGAATTTTAGTGAATGAATTAAATTGACACGTTGTTATCTTATTTTTCTTGGGTTTAGGTTCTTGCACAAGCGGGTGATGGCAGCAAGTGAGACGATGTTGGGTGATGATAAGTTTGTAGTGTTTATCACCGGGTCACTCTAACCTAATGAAAACCACGAGCAACACTATCATAAATTCGGAAGCTTGTAGTGAATTTTGAAAAGTTTGTTGTTGATGCATAAGTGTTTTTCTACGATATTTTTTTAGTGGATTAACCATATATTACGTTAATTTTGTAGTGGATTACTTTAAACTATAAAGTGGATTTTGATAACTTTGTAGTAGATTTTGATAATTTTCTAATGGATTATGTTAATTCGTAGTGGATTATGTAAATTTATATTCAATTTCATACTGATTTCTACGTTAATCGAATAGTGGTTTTCGATGAATTTATAGTGGTTTTCAATGAGTATTTAGTGGATTTCAATCTATATATTACGTTAATTTTGTAGTGAATTACTTTAACCTATAAAGTGGATTTTGATAACTTTGTAGTGGATTTTGATAATTTTGTAATGAATTACGTTAATTCGTAGTGGATTATGTAAATTTATATTCGATTTCGATACGTTTGTAGTGCACTATATTTATTATGAAAGTTGATTACGATAATTTCATACTGATTTCTACGTTAATCAAATAGTGGTTTTCGCTGAATTTATAGTGGTTTTCAATGAGTATGTAGTGGATTTCAATCCATATATTACGTTAATTTTGTAGTGGATTACTTTAACCTATAAAGTGGATTTTGATAACTTTGTAGTGGATTTTGATAATTTTGTAATAGATTACGTTAATTCGTAGTGGATTATGTAACTTTTTATTCGATTTCGATACGTTTGTAGTGCATTATATTAATAATAAAGTTGATTACGATAATTTCATATTGATTTCTACGTTAATCGAATAGTTGTTCTCGATTAATTTATAGTGGTTTTCAATGAGTATGTAGTGGATTTCATTTTTTTGTTAAACTTGCGGTAAAAAAAAATCAATTAAAAAAAATGAAAATTGAAAAAGAAAAATATTTTTTAAATTCAAATTACAAAAAAATTGTAAAAGATGAATTTATAGTGGTTTTCAATAAGTATGTAGTGGATTTCAATTTTTTGTTAAACTTGCGGTAAAAACCCAATTAAAAAAATGAAAATTGAAAAAAAAGAATTATATTTTTTAAATGGAAATTACAAAAATATTGTATAAAGAATCAAAAGAAAAACCGAAACACGTGATTTGCATTGTGAAAGAGATTAGGGGGAGTTGGCGAGAGATTTAAGGGGAGTTATTTTAGGGGAGTTATTTTAGCAATAATAATTTAATTATATTTTTATGAATATAATAAGGGTAAATGAGGTATTAATCTTAATAAGGGGTTATCCCTAATAATAAATAAAAATATGGATTTATGCCTCTGAAAAAACTGTACGAGGGGGTTATCTCATATAACCCCATAATACAAAGCTATAGGTCATTTAATATATAACAACAGAATTTATAATTGAAGTTTACAAATTAAGAAATTTTACAGTTGTAACACCTTTTGATATCTATATGTAACCTAAAGAATCCAATAATTATTTAATTCTGTTCTTAAGTTTTATATTTTTCATGCTCTAAATTTCACTGAAAGAATAGTTGTAGAACAATAATATAATATCAAAAAGAAATTGTTTCAAATTCATGCAAAAACGAAGATTACTAATAAAATATTCTAGGGAATTTCAACTTAGCACAAATTGAAATTACAATAAAACTATTAATTTTTCATTAATCTAATCTACCCAAAATAACATGCTTTATTACTTAATTTGTCCATGGATTAAAATAATTGCTATACGCTAGGTTTCGTTATATTTAATAAATCCAATTTAACTTATCTCTAATCATCTAAAAAAATTCCAATTTATAAGGCCATCAATTTAGTTCATGAGTTTTTTTTTTTTTTTTTTTGAGATAAAACATTGGACTATATTAATCTTCAGCTTCAAAGTTTACAATATTTTGAATCACCAAAGGGAGATTCGGCAAAAGATTTGGACCCTTAAGTGAAAGTCGAGCTACTTCATGTGCAACTTGATTCCCTTTTCTATTAATATGCCTAGCAGAGAACCCATCAAACCAGCCCTTAGCAACAAGAATATCTGCAATGATAGCCCCATGCATTGATCGATCTTCTGTGGCGCCATTAATCGATGATATTACAGTGCTTGAGTCACCTTCAACAATAATTTTTTGCCAACCTTTCTCTCGTGCAAAGATCATCGCATAATATGCAGCCTTAGCTTCCGCCGACGTTGGATCAAGACTTTGCAACAGGAAATGTGACGACCAACCTACGCATTCTCCCGTATGAGACCTCGCCATTATTCCGATACCCACACTTCCAAGCGCAACGTTAACTGATGCATCAAAATTCAGCTTAATCACTTCCGGCTCAGGGCATCTCCATTTGGGAATCGGATTGGATCTAGTCACATTAAGGACTCTTGCAACAGGATTATTCAACATCTCAACGTAATGCCGAACGAAAGTAACAACTTCCATTGCTTCCACTACCACTACTTCATGAAGTTTTTTATTTCGAAACGACCATAACGCCCAACAAATCAAGATGCAATTGCGGAATTGACCGTCATCCGTCGACCTCCTCATATAAAGAATCCATTCCTTCACCGTTGTACCTACCCAATTATGCACCTTCATCGGGATGTTACTTAACGCCCAAACTTGTCTCGAGAAGGAGCAAAAAGCCAAGCAATGGGATAAATCTTCACCAACTGTAGTACACGTCGCACACAAGTCATCCGACATAATTTTTCGTTTCCTTAAGTTATCTTTTGTAGGAAGCAGGTTATGGCATGCACGCCATGCAAAAATCTTGATTTTAGTAGGGAGCTGCATTTCCCAAAGCCACTTCCAGCTACAACCATCGTTTCCGGAAGAGCTACTAGATGCTGGATTTCGGTTCGTCTCCTCTTCTCGATATGCAATATGGTATGCACTACGAACCGAAAATCGTCCATTTTTGTTATAATGCCAAACAAATACATCTTCATTTTCGTCCCTCCCAAGTGGAATAGACAAAATTTTCTTCCAGTCCTCTTCAACAAAATGCTCTTTAAGGAGCTGAGTATTTCATTGATTCTCGAAAACCAAATCACAAACCCGCATGTTCAATGGGAGAACACCTCTATGTGTAATTGGTTTGAACGTGAATTCTCTCGGCAACCACTTGTCCCTCCAAACGGAAATAGATTTTCCGTTACCCACTCGCCATCGTAGACCAGAATCAATGATATATTTCGAGGCTAGAATACTTCTCCATGTATAGGACGGATTAGACCCAAGTTTGGCCTCAAGTACATTCGAATTTGGATAATACCGAGCCTTCAATATTCTGCTTATTAGGCTCGATGGGGTCTCTAATAATCTCCACCATTGTTTAGACAAAAGAGCCATGTTAAAAGCTTCGAGGTCTCGAAATCCCAAACCCCCGGACTGCTTGCTTTTACATAATTCTCTCCATTTTACCCAATGAATGCCCCGCCCCTTTGTATCTTTCCACCAAAATTGGGCCATAAGTTGTTCGATCTCCTTATGAAAATACGAGGGGAGTTTAAAACACCCCATTGCATAAGAAGGAATCGTCAGAGCCACAACTTTAAGCAGAATTTCTTTTCCCCCTTTGGACAACCATTTCTCTTTCCATCCTTTTAATCTTTGGCAAATATTGTCCCGAATATTTAAAAAAACTGACCTTTTGGATTTGCCGATAACTGACGGAAGACCCAAATAACGCTCATGACGATCCACAATAGTCATGGAGAGAACCGATTGAACCGCCTCAATGAATTCACTCTTCGTTTTTTTACTAAAGACGATACTTGATTTTTGATAGTTAATCATTTGGCCCGAAGCACTCTCATAATCAGAAAGAATATTTTTAATGCTCAAGGCAGAATGTGCGCTAGCATTACAAAAAATAATAGTATCATCTGCGAACATAAGATGCGATATTTTTGGTGCTCCATTGCACACCGATAACCCCACAATATTCTCCTTTGATTCCTCTCGATTAAGCAAAGAGCATAGAGCTTCAGCGCAAAAAAGAAATAAATACGGTGATAATGGGTCACCTTGACGAAGCCCTCTCTCCGGATTAACCAGTCCAAACGAGCCCCCATTAAGAATAAATGAATAAGAAACTGTAGTAACGCATCTCATGATCAACTCCACTACTTGATGAGCAAACCCCAGTTTTATCATTACTTTTCGCAAAAAATCCCATTCGACCCTATCATATGCTTTACTCATATCTAGCTTCACCGCCATATGCTCAGCTGTACTTCGCTTCATATAATGTGTCACTTCATATGCGATAAGTATGTTATCAGATATTAATCGACCGGGAATAAAAGCCGATTGCGCCTCTGATATAATAGAGTTCATCAACGGTTTAAGCCGATTTACAATACATTTTGATACCAACTTGTACACCACATTGCTAAGGCTTATAGGCCGGAATTGAGCCATTCTTTATGGTTTGGAGCATTTGGGGATTAAGACAATATGGGTGTGATTGCAGTCCGCCGGAGAAGCACCAAGATTAAGAACATTTAGCACCCATATCGTGACATCAGCCCCCACTATATTCCAATATTTTTGGAAGAAAAAGGCCGGAAAACCATCTGGGCCCGGCGACTTCAATGGTTGCATGGAGTCCAAGGCTGCCTTCACCTCAACCTCTGTATAATCAGCCATTAAGGTTCCATTCATATTAATGTCCACTCTTTGACCAATAACATCAAGCACTTCGTTAAGTTGCTCCTCAGTAGGATGATTCGATTTGAACATTTCACGAAAATAGTTTAGGATGAGTTCTTCCATGTCATAATCCTTATCACGCCATTCCCCAGCCTCATCTCGAAGCCCTAAGATAGTATTCACACGACGTCGAGCGGAAGCTTTGGCATGGAAGAATTTGGTATTTTTATCCCCTTCGCGGATCCAATGAGTTTTAGCTCGCTGACGCCACATCATTTCCTCTTTGTCCAAAATTTTCTCCACTTCTGCAGATAGTTCTTTGATTTTCTTATTATTTTCCTCGGATCGGAATCCTTTCTTAAGCTAAAAAATCTTCTCCTTAAGAAAGGACGTTCTTCTTTTAATTTCTCCAAAAGACTTCGAACTCCATTGTCTTAGTCCTGCTTTGCATGATTGCATATTATCGTAAAATAATGGGCTCGATTTCCATCTTTCCTCAACTATTTGGTCACACTTCGGATCTTTGAGCCACATCGCCTCAAATTTAAACCCCTTCTTCCTTTTGTTGTTCATAGCAATTTTATGATGCAAGATAATCTTAACTGGAATATGGTCTGAGTTCAATGCCTCCAAATGTACAACATGGAAATTGGGAAATAACTCCCTCCAACTATCATCGCCAAAAGCTCTATCCAATCTTTCTTCAACCAAATTTGGAAAATCCCTATTATTTGACCATGTGAACGGATAACCCACAAAACCAAGATCGCTTAAACCGGCCTCTTGAATACACTCTCCAAAAAGCTCAATGGCTCTAACACTAACCTCTGTGCCCCCTTTTTTCTCCGATTGAGAGAGCAAAGCGTTAAAATCTCCTGCACATAGCCAAGGTATTCGAGACAAAGTGGATAAATGCCGAAGCAGGTTCCAGGATTTGGTTCTCTCTTTCTCAATCGGATCACCATAGAAACCGGTGAATCTCCACGTAGGTGCCCCATAGTTACATTATATTGGAAATATATTAAAAGTAGGGGTGAAAGTTGGAATTGAATTTCCGAATTCCGCTAATTCCGATTCGAAAATATCCGAATTTGGAACCGTATTTATCATTCCGATTTTCGAAGTTCCGATTTTAGATTCTTCCGAATTGATTTTGAACGGAATTGGAATTGTATAAAAAATTGTCGGAAATTCCGATTTTCGATCCGATATTAGTTCTGAATATTTCTATGGTTTTCCAAAATATATATTATAATTTTATGATATATTTTGTAATTGCATAACATAACTTATATTATATTTTATATGAAAGGTATAAATGGCGAAGGGTCAAGTAGATGTGTGTTTTTATTTATTACGTTTTGTCAAACTCTCTTTTGTTTTTTCTTGCATTTCTTCTTGCATTTTTATGCTTAAATTAAAAAAAAAAAAAAAAAAAAGATAGAAATATTGTGAAAATTTTCATTATATCCGAATTTGGAACAAGAGATTATAAACTAATGTAACTTACGAAATTTCTGAATTTCCGCCGATTCCGAGGCATCGCAAAATCGGAATGAATTTTTGCATTCCGATTTTTTTGAAACAAAAATTGGGACACATTTTTTATTTCCAAAAAAATTGAAAATTTTCCGAAAAAGTCATTTCCGGTCCATTCGGTCCGATTCCCACCCCTAATTGAAAGAGAAAACTCACTTGAGTCACTTGAGGGCCATTCAGACTTTTGCATCATCTGCATTGACTCCTCTACGTGCAATAGGTGCACAGTTCACCTTATAATTACATTCAATTCAATAAAATTAACCAAAATAATAATCATCCATAAAATTAAACAAAGTTAATGGGGTTATAAATACCAATGTAATTTTTTTAATATACAGTAGAACTCGATAAATTAATATTAAATAAATTAATAGCTTCGCTTAATTTTTTTTTGGTCCCTATTCTGTGACAACGTGATAAATTATTAACTCAACAATTGAATGTTTCGCTAGTCGAACTGTATCAATATATAGAGGTTTAAGTTTAATTGTTTGTTAAACTTACTGAATTGTAAGTGCAATATTGTTAGTGCTTTTGTGAATGTTGTGTGTGTGTGTGCACACAATGTATACTTTTTTCCTTTTATTGAAAATTATTTATGTATATTTTTTTATTTGTAGGATCTACACCTTCAAGACCTCACTCGGAAAGCCTACTTCTTTAAGACCTTAAGAACATACACAAGATGCCAGATTCCGGTTCGGCGGCGGTAGGTTCACAAACGGAATATAGTTAACGTAGGAGAGAGAGTTTGTGAGAGAGTATTAATCACTACACCACAAAACGTCATCCATAGCGTTTGAAAAACGCTATCCTTCGCTATTATAGCGTTTTTACAAACGTTGTGTCTGCCAGAGCGATAATAAGTCGGGACTGTTTAATAGCGTTGTATAAACGCTATCTTAAAACCCTAGACATAGCATTTCTTATATGCTATCGTCCACTCTGATATAACATATTATACACGCTATACTTCACCAACTATAGCATTTTGTAAATGCTATGCTATCCATAGCGTTTGATGTTGAGCTATTTTTGTGCCATTATTCATATTTCATAAATACTATCGAACACAATGCTTTTATTATACCGTTGTCCAACATAATAATGAAAAAAAATAATAATCACACTTTTGTATAACACCAAAACCACACTATATAATATCACCAAAAAGTGTCACTAATATTCGGACCAAGTTAATATAATAAGTACAAAAAACTAAACTATCTTTCAACATTTTTATATAACAAAAAGGAAAAGATGTTGCCCCATAATTAAAAATATTTATATGTTCTACAATACTAAACATACACTTATCATTACTTGAAGAAAACAAAACTTCTAGTTTAATGATCTCCACTATCTTCTAGTCGGCAAACACTCTCACTGATGTTCCAAGTTTCACTGTAAATGACGACACAAAAAATACAATATTAAAAACATTGCAAGGTTATTTGTTAATTAAACTTCAGCATAGTCTATTTAATTAGACGTGTAAAGAATTT